TAGGTATTAGTGATCAGTATTTAACTCATCCAGAATTCTTAAAAGTACTACTGATCCTATTTAACACCCTTTAGACTTTGGCTCATGCATTGTTTTCACAGAGAAGCATGAATTCACCTTCCTAACTAGGTCCTGCCTCCTTCCACATTCCTGTCCTGAGGACCCCATCAGCTCGGGGGTTACTGAAGACCTCTCCCTTGCCACTTACCCTGGCTGGAGTTGCAGCTTTACTCTCATGATGATTTGATTAATGTCTTTGTGACCCCCCCTCCCCCCTGCTGCAAGTTTACCAGGGCAGGAACACGGTGAAGTTCAGTATACTCCTTATTCGTACCATCAAGCAGAGAGAGGCCTTGCACAACCAAGTGCTTACAAAATATCCATCCAATGACTGACTGAGGTAACTGGCCCACACACAGTGGCATATGTATACCATAGGAGCCAGAGGATTCCAAACACACTCTGCTAAGACTTCAGGTAAGAAGGGGAAAAGATGGTTAACAGGTTGGCTCACTTAGTCAGAGACACTACTAATGGGTACTGAGAAAAATGAAAATTAATGACAATCACAAAATGAGGAAAAAGAATCACAACACATTGAATCCTTAATTCATTAAAACTGGCACTTTGTGTTAAGTAACACAAAAGGTTAAATCCCATCCCAAAAGATGGGGAGAAAAGGATAATAAAATATGTAGTTAGAATGGGAAAGTAAAAGTTAATTCATCAGCATTACTCAACAGCCTTCGTTTTTCCAAAATGACTTCCGAAATTCATGTAATAGGAACATGTTTGATGTAAGACGAACTGCACTATATCCAATTTTTTTCTAATAAAATTTTTTTCTGATAAAAATTACAGGATATCTTTTCCCAGATGCATCTCCATCTTCAGGGAGCGTTATCATTTAAACAAGAAAGGGTAGAAGAATCTAGTTTACTGTACTGAGCTACTTAACATTTATTCCAAAGTGGGAAACAGTTTAATTTGCATAACCTGACAATACTCCCTGGCATGTTTAGCTGAAAATAATTATTTTCCTTAAGTAGTTAGCAAGCCTTGTAAAAAATGAGAAAACAAGGAGGGATCTAATGGCCCCTGCCTAAAGCTGCTGAATGACTGATAGCTTCCAAAATCACCCTAGCAGTCAAAATCAATTAATCATTCACTGGAACTGGAGCAGAATATAATTAATTATGTTAGCTTGACTGGTTCAAGTTTAATTTCACTAAAAAAATCATTATGAATATAGGCTATTATCATGAAGTACTGCTAAAATAAAAAACTGTAATGAGTAAGGCTCTGTATCAATTTGATTCACATTTAAAACTTTTGTGGAAGTTTTCAAATAGAAATACAGGTAGAGAAAAACAATGTGAATTCCCAAGTACCCACTGCCCAAGTTTTTTCACACACTCTCTATCCCACACACTAGTCAACTCTAATGCCTTAATTATTTTAAAACATATCTTCAACACTGTATTTCAGTATTTCAATTTACATCTCTTAAGATACAGGTTCCTTTTAAAAATGCAACCACAATACCATTATCACACCCAAAATACGATGGTAAAAACCCTTAATATTATCAAATATCATCAATTTTCATATTTCCCTAGTGCTCTTTAAAAAAGTTTATTCAAATCAGGATCCAAGTTAAGTCCAAAAATTGTCTTGGAATGTATATTTTTAAGTCTTTTTTCATTCACTTTTCTTGCATTTTAGTTGTTGAAGAAATAGGCTCATTTCTACTGTACTTTTCTAGAGCCTGGGTATCACCAATCACCAATCGAATTCCTCGTGGTATGAGTTGTTCTTCCGTCCCCCGCACTTCTGGTGAAGTGGTAAGTCTCAGATTTGATTCTTGGTAGCACAGCTTGGTTAGCAGTACATGTACTTCCATTGGGAGGCACAAAATCCGACTGCTGGCGTGATTACTGCCTACGTCCATTAGCATGAGAGAAAGTGGCAACATTCTAATTCTGTTTTTCTGTAGCTTTTACGTGGAAGGCCTTTAAGCACATATTCCAAAGGTACCCAAGAACTTGTAAAACAAGAGTTTCAGTCTCTTGCAGATATTATTTCTTGCTGATGCTAAAACTATCTGCAAAGGGCCTTCTGAATCTTTTTGACAGATCTCTGGTGTGACAACCCTGGAGACTTCTAGGCTCTTCTTGTAAAATATTTTTCCTTACACCTGGAATTAGTTATTTATCTAAGGAAATCTTGTTCTCCTGAAGAAAATGATAGAGACCACATCTGAGACCCTAAATTCGACCTTCATTTGAATTACATTCAAAGCTAAAGAAGTCAACTAAACAGAAGTCCTCCACTATTGCTTCTAATTAGTTTATGTGGCTGCAAACATGTAGTTTTTTAAAGCATGGAGCTCTCAGATTTTTAAAAAAAAATTCTTGTATGTTAATGTTGACAGACAATATCATAATTTTTCTACCAATGAACTTTGAAAACCTTTAATCCCCAAATTCCACTTTTTGGAATTTATTATTAGGCTTAGGAGTTCCATGTAGGATTTGTACAAAATAATGAACAATATGGAACTTAAATAACCAATAGGGAAATGGTTAATGTAAAAAAATGCACAATGCATTCACAGAATGAAATATTTAGATGATGTAGATACAGTATCAATGTTTTGTTAAATAAGAAAGGGGGGTTACAAAAGTGTAGGTATTATGCGTTCAGTCACATGCATTAAGATAAAAGTCTTTACAGTGCAAACTAGCTCATTTTGTTTCCATCGCTGGCTTAGGATTTGGCTTTCCTGGGTCTGCCAAATTAGATGGGTCTCCTCCATCTGCTTCCCAGTTTCCAAAATTTCGTTCTCATTATCTTCTCTTCAATTCACCAGGTCCTTGTTGGATTGTCCCTGTCATTTCAGTGGAGATTTCAGGAAAGAGAAGCAAGTAAATATTCCACTCAACCCTCTATTTTTACCTAGCATCTCGTTGTTTTGTAGAATAGTCTGAAAAATTTACCAGTTATAAAATACATGAATTTCTAATGAAACAGTCCACCTAAGTGTATATCTAAGATAAACAATAACACAGGACCCAATTCTCATCTTAATAGAGTTGGGACTCAAACAATACTGGAGGTGCTAAACTGGTAATCAATGGAAAATGTTCAAATGGATGTTGGGGTATTTTTTCTCCTTTGAGTTGGGATTTAGCTATGTTGCCCCTTTGGTCTTAAACTCTTGGGCTCAAGTGATCTTCCCACTCAGCCTCTTGAGTAACTCAAGACTACAGACACACGCCACTGCACTTGACTTAGAAGTTGTTTTTAATCATGAATATGAAATGCTGAAATCAAAGCTGTGCTCTGTGGGCCAAACTGATGATCTTTTTGGTTTCTTAGGAGTCGAATTGGTTTTTCCTAAAATTTCTTACTTTAGTGGCTTCTCTAAAGATGAACTGACCCTGGCAGCTTTAAAACTACATCCACTTTGCTCCCTAGTTTTGGGAGATGACTCTGGTACCTGGGAAGATGGGCTGCATTTACTATCCTGATTCTTCAATGCCCTTGACTAGAAATGCTTAACAAGGAAGTACAAGCACTCACAATTTCACAGCTCAGTCGTAAAATACAAAGACGATAGTGACAGAGACAGGCCTTTACAGAAGTTTGCTCAGTTTGGGCAAGTTTTTAGTTTTCACTATATGTGATTATGATAAAAATGAGGTGCCCAGAGCGCAAAGTGTTGGAGGGCACCTTAAAAAACAAGACTAAATAAATCATGTAAAGCTGTCTTTACCTTAACATGTCTTTCCAAAAAGTCTGACACTATGGGGAATACTCTAAGTCCAGATACTGTAAAGATTTTGGGTTTTTGGGGTTTTTAAATTTTTTTTTATTTTGGGGGGAAGCAGTACTGGGGTTTGAACCCAGGTTATTATTTCATTGTTGATTTTGTGGGTCTGTGTCTGAGTTTAGAAAACTGCCAATAGAAATAAATAAAATTCCAAACAGAACTTAAGTAAATGTAAGAAAAAACAGCAAACTTGTAATTACATGCATTAATGAACACTGACGATTTCATAAATAACTAAATATAACATACACCTTGGTGGTTCTAAATTAATTACTCTACTATAAAAGTACTGCAACCTGGGGACAACGACAAGTACATATCTTCTCAACACTCAGGAGGCTGGGACAGGAGGATCGCGAGTTCTAAGCCAGCCTGGGCTACATAATGAGACACTTTCTCAAAATGAGTTTTTTTTTGTGTGTGGCTATTTACTTATTTAACAGATGTTAATCATTTATAGCTAGTCTTGATTTTAAAATAATATTTGGGCTGATTACTCAATACACAACACTATTCTAAGTTTATAATTCCTTTTCTAGGTAACATATGCCAGTTTTCCATTTGCAACAAATTGATAAAACAAGAAAATCTTAGCTGAAAACTTTTAAATACATTTATCTAGCCCCCCTCCCCCACTGGGTGCTGGGGTTTGGCTCAGGGCCTGTGTGTGATAGGTGAGTACTTGTCCACTGAGCTGTGTCTCAGCCCTTGCTCTTTAAGAGTCAGGTGCTTACTATGTAGCCCAAGTTGGCTTGGGACTCCTGATCCTCCCACCTCAGCCTCGAGTGCCAGGATTACAGGCAAGTACTACCATGCCTGGCTAAACTAGACCTTTAAAACAAATAAAATATTTAGCATTCAAAACTTTAAAAATAAATAAATAAGTAAGACCATGAGTTTCCAATATGATTCAGCTTTTCCTTCAACACAAGCACTGAATGTGGATTAGAAACAGTAAAAGCAGTTGAGGTTAGTTGAGTTTTTTTTAATGTCCATATGTTTTTCTACATGGACCCCAAACTAAGAATAAAGATATCTATACTTGTATTGGAAGAGACGATCTTCTTTCTGCTTAACAATTTCTTTCACTTTGTGAGGAAATGTTGCCTTGTGAGAAGCTTCTTTTGATAGGTCTCCGAGTTCAAAGAGTATGGACCCTCCCAGCTGATCTCATCAAGTCTATTTATTAATGCATTTCAAGTTTCAAAAAACCTTACATTTTTGCACAATACTTTATTTTTTGCAATTTTTAGTAAAAATTTCCAAAGTGAACAAAAAAGATACTGTATAAAACACAGTGGACATTAGACAACAGTAGTATTAGATCGCATTTGTCTTGATCTTTTCATTTTACCACATCTTGATTTGCAGTGGGAAGAATTCAGTGCATGTATCTCTTTTCAGAAAACATTTAACTTAGACTCAAAATAAAATAGGGCAGTGTGTAACTGCCAAAAACCCTACCACAGGATAACATTACAAGCAAAAAATTTACATGTTCCAAAGTCTACCACACTCAAGAAGTTACTAAGAACTCTTGCAGAATAAAAGTCATTTTAGAAATGCAAACCCACTTCCAACCTCTGCACAATCCAAAAACAAAGGCATTTAAATGATTTAAAAGCAATTTCATACATATCTATCTACTTGTTTTTTAGAATTATTTATAATCTATCTGGGGTTTCATGTACAAAATTTGTCTCTGAATCATGTACAAAAGCTGTATTCTGAAAAGTCGCCACGCGCTGTACAGGTGCACGGAGAGACCAGTGCTTCTCTAGCGTTTTTGGCCTTGCCGGCTTGCGTCACATTACAAGAATGATTGTGTAAACCTTAGACTCTTAAGAAAAAAGAAAAACAAAGCCAAACACAGAACTCTTTCCAACTTTTCCTAAATTTGCCTCTTCTGTCAAGCCAGGAAAACCAGCTGTTGACTCTAATTTAAGTGATGTAGTTGGAAAACAGAAGCAATAAATATGTCACAAGCTTAATATTTTTTGTAATGCCCCCTTCCATTTCCTGCATAGCAATAAGCCTGTTAATACATTAAATGCTTTTGCTTTCTCTTTCTTTAACATGCCAATTATTTACATCTGCTTACAAAATAAATTTGGAATGGACATTGTGCTGTTTCACCTTCACTGTTGTTAAAGTATCTTAGGAAAAAACGTCAGAAGGCCTATCTACAATTTTAACTACCAGCTGAGCAAGTTGCTCATCTTTAGTGGTTACCAAGGATCAGTTATGATGCGCTGAAAGTCTGTCTAAATATTTAAAGACACAGCTTTTCTTTTTCATATCAGACAAAAAAAAAGTCTTGGCCTATTTTAGATATACGGAAAAATACAACAAAATAAGGAGGCTACAAATGAAAAGAATCATTTCACTGACATAATTCCTACCAAAGCATGAATAAAATTTCACCTATCAATTCAAAACAGGAATTGAATTAGCAAGTGTAACAAATGTAAGCAGGAAGCGGACGTCAAGTACACGAAGAACTACCTGGAGCAGTGCTGCTGATGTCCAGCTGCACACGAGCTGTTTCTTCAACACAGTCACTCGTGCTCATAGCAGCCACAATAAGGAGGAAATGAATGTAAGAACAACTCCACTATAAGAAAAAGGTAAATTGATTCTCATTTCAAAACTGCCTGTGTAAAGCATTACAGAATCCTGGACCATTGAATACCACCATTCTCTGTTATCCTGAGTATGTCAATTAAACAGTAATTTTTCATTAAGAGCGGAAAAATTTTATAATACAAAGAAACATCCATATTGCAATTTCTGTTTACAATTCACACAGAAGTACAGTGTACGTAAGAAATACAGGTCTGCATATAACAAGGTATGTACATTGGCAAGTGATGTCTCTAATGTTGAGGTGGTCGAGCCTCCAATCCTTGATTGGCAGTTGAAAAAAATATATATATATTTCAATTTGTGATAAAAGTTTATCGAGAGCCAAGTTTGACTGCAAGTGAAGAAAATGCAGCAATGAAGAACAGGGAACACAGGGCACATAATAATATTCTGAGACTTTGTGCCATCAGGTTAAAAATATCTGTCCATAAGAAAATTGGGTTCCTTTTCCACCCCACCCCCCGAAATTGGAATTTTCAGGCTTTAAAATTTAAATAATTCCACCTGGTCTGAGGACATGATCTCTTGCCATTTTTTCTTCAACTATTACTTGTGAGGGTTTAGTTTGGAGATGATGACTTGATAGGTTTCTCTTTGGAGTGAAGTTTTCCCATTGTAGGCACTAGGAAGAACCAAGGCAAAAGCTGCGGCTAACGTCTCATATGTCCCATCTGGTAACTCTCCCGGGGCCTCTGACGCTGGGGTTGCTGAATGGGCTGTGGAGGTCTCCTCCTCTTTAAAGTGCCTGTGAGTCACAAACAAAGCAAAATGGTTCACCGGGGGCTTTGTAATCATTCGAAACAAAGCTGCTCTCTCAGTAAGAAAGGCACTGTCCAAAAGAACTATGAGCCACACACATAGTTTTATATGGATAAGCCAAAATAATGACTTTCACATACTGCATTTCTAAAAATTATTCATGAAATATCTCATTGTTTCACTTAACTTTTAAAGTTTGGTACATATTTTATACTTAACAGCACATCTTCACTGAGACCTAGCCACATTTCAAGTGTTCAATAGCCACAAATATTTGATTAATCTAGATTAATAATCCCAGGTTCTGAGGACAGACTCTCTGAGGAGGAAATTACTAAGTGAGCAAATGGGGCTGGTGGAGTGGCTCAAGTGGTAAGTGCCTGCCTAAAGCACATGCCTAGCAAGCATGAGGCCATGAGTTCGAGCCCTAGTACTGCCAAAAAAAAAAAAAAAGATTCATTACTAAGTGAGCAAATGACAAACTTTCTTAAGCTTAGATGCCCAGTCTGTAAAACATGAATGACAACTAACTCATAGTCTGGTGGGAAGATTTTATGATGATTTTTGTGAGAGTGCTTAGCACTTTTTGTGAGGGTTCAATAAATGACAGCATTTTTCAAAGGTGCTACTTTCTGAGAATGAAATCAACGCACAAGTAAAATATTTACTTCACTGAACAACCCTGTATAATTGGTTACAGTATCTAAAGTGCTATGTGCCTGTGGAAATCCCTTAAAACTAATGTAAGTTCCAGAGTGTTAACATTGCAATGATATGAAAAGCAAACTTTCTCTGATCCCAGTAAAATCCTGTCCCCTAGCATGACTTCTGGGCTCTCTCATCCTGGAACAGATAAATGCAAAGGAACAAGGAAGGGATACAGAGGCTGTGAACAAGTTTGTGCAGGGCAGACGAGCAGTATGGGAATCCTCTCCTTGGAAGCAGGAAAGGCAGTGCTATCACTCAGCTCTGGCTCTCCTCTGCCATGGTCTTAAGCAATGGCTGCTCCCACACCTGTGGTGAATAGTTGTCCTGAGGGAAGCACAGATCTGCACATACCTTGGTGAGGAGGAAGATACACTGATGAGAACTAAATAATCTGGGGCAGATGCTTCCTCCCCCTTTCCTCCAAGTGCCAGAAGGAATCTAAAGAGCCTCTCTCCCTAATGCTTCACCTGAGAGGTGAAAGGTGGAGACCAAAACTGAGGCATTGTCTTCACAGATGGAGACTACTTAACTGTGGTTCTTTGATGCCTGAAGCTGCTACCCTAAGACTCTCCTAGTGGACTGGGAACTGTATTTCACCATAAGCTTCACCCATGGGAAAACAAACACTCATGCCAGAAAATATTTCAAGAGTACAGACATTAAACACAACAGAACCACAACTATTAAATCAGAAAGACCAGTAATTCAAATGCAGCTTAATTGCCATAATAAAAACAAGGGAGGATATCAGAATATGAAACAAAAATAAGAAAGCAAACACCAAGAAAACATAGAAACTTCTAGTTTTAAATATTTGTGGATGCTCAAGATAGATTAGCATTAAATTGGTAGTCATTAGCTAGATTGGCTTGATAAAAAAAAGTACACTGGATCATTCTCCACAAGAAAGCTCCACAAAATGAGTTACTAAAGATTCACTGGTACTTATTCTTGCTAAATGGCTCTGAGTCATAGAAAAACATCCTTTGTGCAGACATCCTTACCTGGAAGTGGTTTAGGAGGAGGCAACTTTGGGTTACTACTTGGAGTATGAACACTGCATATCTTGATAAATCCAGCCATTAACATGATCAGGGCAATTCCCATAAGTAATACTGCCCACCAATGAGCCTAGAGGTAAACAGATTTTGCCACTGAAAAAACTGTAAGATATTTTAGAAAATATAGAACATTTTAATTTTTGAACATTTGTTAGTTAGGATACTTGTACATGTTAGTTTCTTAAATATTAAAAGAAAAGTTTAAAGGAGAAAACAGAAGCCACCCATAATTTCACCTCCTACAGAAAACCAGTCAATCTTATTTTCCTTTTTTCTGTATAGAACCATGTCATACACACAAACAAAAACACATCTGGGGTCATCTACCATTCAGTTTATGTGTATTTTTCCACATCATTATCCCATATTACTCAGTATTTTCTGGTTTAAATATTTCCTTTGCTTTTTAATCTCTTACTCTTATACACTGTGTTTTGTTTGCTTTCTTATTCTACACAACCTAAAAGTTATAAAACTTGCTTTAAATTCTACTAGTAGATAGACTTTAAAAATACTCTTTAGTCTACACTGTTGCCTAATTATTAAAGCCTGGAATTCTCTTTTTTGAGGCCCATTCTCCCTGGGGTTTGTTTTATTTTCATTTTTGATTGTTTTTTGGTGGCATTAAGGATCAAATCCAGGTCCTCGTGCATGCTAGGCAAGCATTCTACTAATAAGCTACATCCCTGACCCCCTTTTTTCCCTTGGAATTTCTCTTGGAATTTGAGAGCAGACTACTATCATGATTTTGTTGGTGGTGGTGGTACAGGGGTTTGAACTCAGGGCCTCATGCTTGCTACGCAGATACTCTACCTCTTGAGCTACTCCAACAGCACTTTTTTATGTTGGGTATTTTTTGAGATAGGGTCTTGTGAACTATTTTTCCAGCTGGCTTCAAACGGCAATCCTCCTGATCTGATCTCTGCCTCCTGAGTAGCTAGGATTACATGTGTGAGCCACCAGCACCTGCCATGAATTGTTTTTTATACATCCTCATTTTATATGTTGATCTTTTTCTTCTCATTCATTCACTTATAGATTAACTATCTTTTAAAGTGAAAACTAGAAAGACATAATGTAACAGATGATGGCATTTACTCAAAGAAGGAACCAAAAACGTCACTTAAATTACATTAAACAAATCAATTAACCTCACAACAACAAAAATTTCAAAATTACTACTGGAGCCAGGCATGGTGGTGTATACTTGTAGCCCAAGCTACTGGGGAAGTGGGATAAAAGGATTGTGGTCCCACACCAGCTCAGGCAAGCTAAATGTGATACCACAGAAGTAAAAAAAATAAAATAAAAGCACAAGGACTAAAAGTGTGGCTGAAATGGCAGACTGTGTACCTAGCAAGCATGAGCCACAGAGCTCAATCCTCAGTATCACAAAACAAAACAAAGCTCACCATTGGCACAGTCTGATTTATACAAAAGTTACTATTCCACTCTGAAGAAATTGTAAGTCTATTTTACAATAGCAAGTATTAAAACTGTTTTAAGATAGCAGGTACTAATAAACATCATATGAGAATATAACTTTAAAATTGTGACTCACAGTGGCTTAATACAGATTATTATAATACATATATAGTTGCTGCTAATTATTTCCAGCAAAACTCACATTGAAAAAGATTTTTCTATCATCTGGGGCCTCAAACAAAGTGCTACCTCTGCACTGTTTACCCAGCAAAGATGATGTAATTAAAGAAATAGATGCTAAAACAAAATACATGCTGTGCCAAAATATCCCATCACTTTTTCTGTGTGCATAAACTCCATTAAAAAAAAAAAGAAATGTTGCATTTTAAGAATCCCTAATGTACTAGTCGAAGTCCAGTACAACAAACTTTTCAGAATCTGGAAACCTCTGAGAATAAAGTACAAGCACCATGCTGCTATCCCTGAACTGTCCCAGAGACTCCCTAGGTGTCTTTCTAGGTAAGGAGAACACAGTAACCAGCTGTGGTCCATCACTGCTACTTAATCCTCAGGCTCCATTCGAGTCTTGCCCACAGCATCTCATTCACAATCAAGCGCTGCACTAAGCTGCCATGTTTCTTTAGTATCCTTCAATCTGGAAAGGTTCCACAGAATTTCTTTGGCTTATTTCTTTGCTCTTATTTCCTGAGCAATCTGACACTTTGAAAATCACAAGGCAGTTATTTTGTATGGGAATGTCCCTCAGTTTGGGTTTCTCTAGTGCTTCTTATGATTAGATTCAGGTCATGCAACTTTGGTAAGACCATCACAGAAGTGATACTGTGTTCTTACTGGATCCCATCAGGTGACACGTGATCTTGATTTCACTGCTGATGATAATTTGAATGCCCAATTAAGAAATTATCTGCCAACTTCACCACAGAGATTCTTTTTTCTCTTGAGAAATAAGTAAGTATCTTGTAGGGATATAAACATCCTCATATTCATCAAACTTTCAATCTTTTCATTTACTTATTCCCTTGTGGCTTCCTTTTATACAATGGGTTGTATGTGTTGCTATCAGTTGTTTTGTTTTTTGACATGGATTCTTCATTCTTTGAGCACTTTCTTTCTGGCACAATAAAAAGTTCCAGATTCATCTTGTTCTTTCACTTCCCCAGCCCTGGGACCAGCTGTTTCTCTAATGAGCCTTGCCTCTTCTCAGTCCTTCTCTTACCTACCTATCACCCCACTTGCACTTTGACATCCCATACTAGTCACCTCTGGAGGAAGGTGAGGGGGTAATTGCCCTGCCTGGGCTCTGACACCCATAGATGGTCTTCCCCACACCAAAGAATCCCACAGCCCAGGTGGGCTCCACCACCCTGCTCTGTGGCACTGCAGCTTAGCTCACCTGAGGACTTTACGAATAAACTGTTCAAGAAAGGAAAGAGAGGGGACAGAAACATGTTATATTTGTTTTTCTGAGTATGACTTGTTTTGCTTAACATGATGATCTCATTCTTCTTTATGACTGATTGTGTATACATACCACGGTTTCTTTACCCATTCACCGGTTGATGGGCACCTAGGCTAATTCCCATAACAGTGCTGTCAAAAACATGGGTGTGCAGGTATCTCTACTGTATGCTGACTTACATTCCTACAGATCCATACCCATAGATGGTACAGCAGGATCATATGGTAGTTCTTTTACTTTTCTGAGAGTCCTCCACACGACTTCCACAGTGGTTGCACTAATTTATATTCCCACCAACCGTTTTATAAACCCCCTGCCCCCATGCTTGCTAGCATTTGTTGTCTTCTTGATGAAGTCAATTGACTGGGGCGAGATGTAATCTCAGTATTGTTTTGATTCACATTTCCTTTGTGGTTAACATGTCTTCTTGCATTAATGTGCCATCTGTACAATTTTAGAACTGTCTGTTCAATTTATCTGACCATTTATTAATTGTATGATCTGTTCTTTTGGTGTTTAATTTTTTGAGCTCTCTCTATATTCTGGATATTAATCCTTTGTCCAATGAATAGCTAGCAAAGATTTTTTTTGCTGGCAAGGATTATTTCTCCCATTTTGTAGTTTGTCTCTTCACTCTTGTAACTGTTTCCTTAGATGTGCAGAAGCTTTTAATTTCACATAATCTGATTTGTCAATTTTTGCTCTTATTTCCAGAGCAATTGGAGTTCTATTCGAAAAGTTGTTGTTCATGCTTATTTATTCAAGTGAAATCCATTTTTAAATGCAGGCAAACATTCAAAATTTCTAAAAACAGCCAGGCACCAGTGGCTCATGCTTCTGATCATAGCTACTTAGGAGGCTGAGAGCAGGAGGATGGAGGTTCAAGGCCAGCCCAGGCAAATAGTTACTAAGACCCCCATCTCCAACTGAACCAGAGCAAAATGAGCTGGAGAGTGACTCAAGCAGCAGATCGCGTGCTTTGCGAGCATGAAGTCCTGGGTTCAAACTGACATCCCACAGAAAGAAAAAAAGACTAAAAACAATGAGTAGACCATACCAAACATGGCGGTGCTGAATCTGAACCTCGCTAGGAAACCACACATTTACAGCCTACTTTTTAAAGCTATTTCACATATCCTACTGAGACTGCCAGGCTGTTTTCTAAAATTCTTTTGTTTCCTATAGAAAATAATTTTCAGAGCTCTGTTCTTGTTAGTCTTTAGTATGACACTACTTTCTCCTTACTATAAAAGTTTTCCTTGGCTTCCTTTTTTTTTTCTATGTTTATTCAGCCTATAATTGCCCTCAGTTGGGCAATGTAAGAAGTTTAGTATTTCTAGACAATTTACCAAATGCCAGTGGAGCCCCTCAGTGACTCTGATAACCAGCACATTTCCAGGTATCCCTGAAAGGCAGAGTTACCAGTAATGTGACGCAGTTCTGAGGACAAAGGGGCAACACTCCCCAACTACTTCCAGGCAAATGGCTAGCTCTGTTGTAGGAGCTGCTTCCATCCCTAATGCTCATCCTACTCTCTACCACATTTCCTCCGCTGTTGCCCCTGCTCACAAGCATCTTCCATATGACCATCACTGCTACTGAAAGTATGGAACTGACCCTGTCACAACTTTATGTAAAACTTCTTCAAAAACCTCCCACCAAAGATCTCCAAGATAGACCATTAAGTGGGACAGAGAAAAAAATAAAAACCAAAACATGAGTTCATAGTAAAGTACAACAAAGCAAAAGTGATGTAACTCCACCCATTTTTTTCTACATATATATTCTTATAGCGATACAGACTGTTTCTGAAAAACATACAAGAACTTCATCCTGTGCAGAGTAAAAGCAAGACTGACTATAGAGCATATTAATTTGTTGATTTCAAAAGATAATCCAATTTTTCAAAAGAAAAAATATTTATTTGGACAATTCATATGCTCCACCATAAGACATTTTAGTATCCTCTGCTTCTACTAGTCTTTAAGAACTTAGCTCTGGCATCACTTTTTTTTTTTTTTTTTTTGTGGTACTGGGGTTAGAACTCAGGGTTTCGTGCTTGCTAGGCAGGTGCTCTACTGCTTGAGTCATGCCTCCAGCCCTTTTTACTCTGGTTATTTTGGAGACAGTGTCTCGCTTTTTGCCCAATGCAGCCTGGATCATGA